AAGTTAAGCATTTGTGAGAATCGACCATTCAGCCAACATGCCTAGATAAGTGTTTCTCAATCTCTGCCACTTTAAAATGGGAGGACTGCAACAGTCCACCAGATGCGTGGACTGTGAATTGCAGTCCACCCATCTTAAAGTGGCAGAGATTGAGAAACACTGCTTTGTGTCCAAATTTTGATTGAATAAATTGCTCTGATTCACTGGCTGACTTCAGACAGAGCAGCGCTGCTTCTCACACCTATTTGACCCCAGCCTGGTGCGTGTTTGTGTTGTGCAAACTTAGTCCCTGACTGACAGCAATCCTGAGCCAAAAATTTCAGCCAGCTTTCCACGTCCAAATATTTCTTCCTGGTAACCTAAGTTTCCTCTCATACAATTGTTCTGTACGGAGGTGAAAGGAAGAGCCATTTGCAGATGACATCATGGTGAGTCATTTTGCACTTCCGAAATCCAGTTTGGGAACCGTGTGCAAAAGGGGAAAAGGATTTACGAGATCTAAAATTTTGGGAGGGCCAAGTACACCTGGAACTTAAATCCAACAAGACTGCTCTCCCTTGCTCACAATTGTGGAGAAATTGTTTTCACCAGTCATTCTGTTGGACGGCACTGTTTTTGTTTTAAGTAAGAGGGAGCATACAAGTATACAAAATCCTAGAATCAGAGTTGTTAAGAACGCAAGAGGTCATCTATCCCAACCCCCAGGGCAACACCCATTCCCCGTTGGAAGACTCTAGTACAGCCAGTCCTCAATTTACGACCAGGTATTTAACAACAAAAAATGCCCATTTAGGACATTGGATACAAGACCTGCTTTAACAACCACCGTAAAAAAAAAACCATCGAAAAATCTGGTTCCATCACATGGTGCCTTGACTTACAACCTTAACTATTTACAACTGGAATCCCAGTACCAGCTGTTGTCGTAAGTTAAGGACTACCTGTAAATGGTTCCTTGTGTCACAGAGCATGCAGTTCCAGAGTATTTCGCTTAGTGACAAAAATGATAGCTTCAGTTGCCATTGTAAGTTGAGGACTACCCATCACAAGTTCCCCTGGCTCTGGCTAAGACACTGCTTGGCTAAACTTACCAGATTTTTTCCTGGTTCCTGCTTAAGGCCTGTCCCATCTGCTCCAGTTCATGGTTGACCTTTTTAAAATGGCAAAGATTCTTCGGCCACTTGACCTTTCCTTAAACCAGGGGTCTCCAAACTTGGCAACTTTTAAGACTCGTGGACTTCAACTCCCAGAATCCCCCCACCAGCATAGACACTCTGTGAGTCTGTCCTCAAATCCAAATCCAACCTCTGGCATTTCCCCTCTAGGAGAGGCTTCTGATTTTCTGCCTTATTCTAGGATGCTCTAGGTCCCGCCCAGCAAGACTCTTGCCAACTGCTGGATGAGTTGATGTGAAAAAGATTCCTAGGAGTTCCACAAACAACTGCCCCACTTCAGTGTCTTACCTTAGGGCAGGGGTAAGCGACCTTGGCTCTTTTATGACTCGTGGACTTCAACTCCCAGAATTCCAGAGCCAGCATGGCTCAACTTGGAAACCTTTCCCTTTCCCCTCAGCATGGCTGGCTTTGGAATTCTGGGAGTTGAAGTCCATGAGTCATAAAAGAGCCAAGGTTCCCCACCCCTGCCTATATCAGGGGTCCTCAACCTTGGCTCTTTTATGACTCGTGGACTTCAACTCCCAGAATTCCAGAGCCAGCCTGGCTCAGCTCGGAAACCTTTCCCTTTCCCCTCAGCATGGCTGGCTTTGGAATTCTGGGAGTTGAAGTCCACGAGTCATAAAAGAGCCAAGGTTGCCTACCCCTGCCTTAGGGTGGTGGACTTAAATTCCCAGAATTCCCCAGCTAGCCAGACACCTTAAAGCAGGGGTGTTAAACTGCCGGCCCGCAGGCCTGTTTCATCATATCGAAGCTGCGCCCACCCCATTGATGGCAATGCAGAGTCGCGATACATTGTGACATGTCACGTGACGTGGCGAGTTTGACACCTGTGCCTTAAAGCATGCTGGCTGGGGAATTCTGGGAGTTGAAATCCACCTATCTTTCAGTGACCAAGACTGAGAAGCACTGATCTGACTGGGGGATTCTGGGAGTTAAAAGTCCACCCATGTTCCAGTGACCAAGGCTGAGAAACAGAGGGTTAAGGATGCCAACAGCTTCAAAAGGCTGCCCAAATTAGGCATCTGATTCTCCATGCATTTCCTATTTTGTCCTTCATTCCGTGCTAGTTGAGGCTTAACAGCCCGGAAACCAGGAAAGACATTAAACGAGAATGCCGGAAACCCAGGCTACATATGGGGGGGGGGGGAATGAGTCACATGGCAACTGTGCCCTGGAACCTGGGTAATCCCCAAGTAGCTTTGCTTATCCTCCATTTCTCTTTCCTGTAGCAGACACTGTGGAAAAATTCCAGCGTTGACAGAAGCTTGGCTATTAATTCAATTCTAGGCCATCTGGGATGGTATGAGGCAGGGGTGGGCAACTCTGGTCGCTGACGACTTGCGGATTTCAACTCCCAGAATTCCTGAGCCAGTCATGCGGGCTCAGGTATTCTGGGAGTTGAAGTCTGTAGGTCTTATAGTTGCCACCTAAGGACACTGCTTGAGCAGGGGGTTGGACTAGAACAGTGTTTCCCAAACTTGACAATTTTAAGGCATGTGGACTTCAACTCCCAGAATTCCACAGCCAGCAATGCTGGCTGTGGAATTCTGGGAGTTGAAGTCCATATGCCTTAAAATTGTCAAGTTTGGGAAACACTAGGCTAGAAGACCTCCAAGGTCCCGTTCCAGCCCCAAGACTCTATGATTCCTTGGAGGCAAAATTCAGCTGCCTTCAAAAATTTGGTGACCTCCCAAGTGTTAAAACAGACAATTTTTTTTGTTTTTCCCAATTTTCCAACTTCTCCATCTTGACTACAACTCTGGAGTTCCTTTATTTATAGGCAGTCCTGGACTTACGACCATTTCTTTAACAACCATTTGATGTTACAATGATGCAGAACAAAGTTACTTGTGACTGGTCCTTACACTTACAATCAGTGCTCATACTTATGACCAGTCCTTACACTTATGACGATTGCAGAATCCCTGTACGTGTGATCAAAATTCACATCCTTAGTAACTGGTATGTATTTACAACGATGGCACCATCCCAGGGGTCATGTAACTGCCATCTGAGGCCTTCTCGGCGGGCTTCCAACAAGCAGTCAGTGGAGGAAACCGGACTCACTCAATGACACCCCCCCAAAAAGGGTTAAATTAGATGTGACTCAGTTAATGACCGCATCTCTTAGTGACTGAGGTGCTGCTCTCAATTGTGGTCGTAAGTCGAGGATTACCCATAGTCTCCCATCCCTGCCTGGCTTTTTTGAAGTCAGCCAAGCTCAATGGTTGATAACGGTGAGCCACTTGGTAAATATTTGTATCAAGCAACCTTTAAAAAATGTGACTGAGGAAAAAAAAAAAAAACCAAGTAAATGAGGAACAATCTTATTAATCTAAATTAACCTTTGTCTTGGCCCTGCCTGCTGTGTAACACCTGAGGGTGCCTCTTTTGTACAACAGAGGACAAAAAAAAAGTGTACAGATATAACACCACACACTAAACTGGTGTTTTTCAAGCTGGCTGGGGGATTCTGGGAGTTGGAGTCATGCCTCTTAAAAGTTACCCAGCTTGAAAACCTCTCCACTAAGCCAAACTTCATCTGTCACATTTAGTCAGACAGTTGTGAGAATCCAACCCTGGTGATTAATTTCTGGTTTGGTGCATTGTTTAGATCCATGTACAGAATTAAAGAAAGCACGCTAAAGTAAACAGCATCAGTCAAACCCAGAGGTCCTACGTCCTTCCCGTGGCCCTATTCACACCACTCTCGGCAAAATAGTTAGCAGGCTTCATTCACTCAACAGGTGGATCAATTACAGGATCTAACATGGTTAACCTTAATCATAGGTTAGTTTGAAAAGTGCTTAGAAATCACACCCAAAGCTGTTTCTCCCAGAAGAAATAAAAATGCATTGCAAGCTACAGATGGCCGTGCTCACAAATATAAGCTCCAATTTAACCAGGAAGTGGAACTACAGTCCCTATTATCCTAAGCTAGCAGTGGAAAAGGAATATGGGAACTGGAGTTCTACACATTTGTAGATTTCCAAGCTAAGGAGTGACTGAAGCCAGTTTTGTCTTTGACAGATGTTCCTATTTTAAGCCAGACCATAAATGAATTTTTTCCTAAATTGGGACTTTCCAAGGATTGGGGGCAGTATGGGTTGCTTTGGGTGTGTGTTCTTTTAAAAATATATTTGTAATAAATTTCTGCAATGTAATGAATGCTTTTAGTTTGGGAAAAACACAGATATTTAAATAAGCAGAGCGATCAAGGCTGAGAACGGGCAGGGACTGATGTGTGTGCAAAACCACGGTGGTGCAAAACACAAGCTCTTAGGACAGTGGTTCTCCACCTGTGGGTCGGGACCCCATTTGGGGTCGAACGACCATTTCACGGGGTTCGCCAAACAACGCAGTCCGCCATTTTTTTCCCCTTTTCCTTAGCTGTGCTCCTTCCTTTTATTATATTGGCTTTTGAAAGCCAATAGAAGAGACTCTCTTGAATAGAGTCTAATTCTATTGGCTTTCCAAAGCCAATAGGAATTGTCCAGGCTGTCTCTGCCCTGCTGAGCCCGCCAAAAGTCCCATTCTGCAAACGGTGCTGCACCAGTTGAGTAGTCCTCGACTTACGACCAGTTGGGGGTCGTGGCATTAAAAAGGTTGAGAACCACTGCTGTAAACCATTTAGAGAGGGCTGTAAAGTACCGTGAAGCAGTATATAAGTCTAAGGGCTATTGCTAGGAGGGAAATAAACAATTATTCCAGGGGGTCTGAGATTGGAAGTGCCCGCAGGACTGAAAATGGATGCAGGATTGACAAACCTGTTGCCATCAAGCGGTGGATTTCAGGGCGATGGAACAAGACATCCAGACGCAGAACTTCAAATTCAGCTTTTAATGCAGGGGATACGGGTGGGATGTTTTAACTGTCTCCCTCCGCTAGACTGGACGTTAACTAGGATTTGTGGTCAGAAGTAAATTGATGATCTATCTTCCTCTCCATCCCCTTTTGCAAAGGGGGCAGCATAGATGCAACTAATTCCCCCCCCTAATCTTGGGGTACACCCTGGACTGAAAATGCAGGTTGCAATGCTGCTCATAGGCCAGCGTTGATGCTGCACAAGACCCCCAACTGATGAGCAGATTGGCTTCTGCAATTCTCAGCAACGGCCACATCCCGCTGGGTGATTCTGGGAATGTAAGCCAGCCTTCCCTGCTACCCCCCCCCCCGACTCCAGGAAAGCAGTTAAACCCACCGATCTTTCCTTCCAGCCAACTTGGAAGATTCCCAATCCCATCCCTAAGAATTTCCTAGTGAGGTTGCGAAAGAAAATTTCAAGCTTTAGCATTGTCTCCATGCTCTCCTGCAAATTCATCCCAGGGCTAGTTATTCCCGTGGGGAGGGCACAGATAACAGGATCACCCAAGCAAGGAACTGGGAGGTGGGGAGGGGCCATCCAGCTTTGCCTCAATGTTCATTCCAATCTCCCCCTCCCCATCTTCTGCCTCAGGGATTCAGACGATGCTCTGCCGGAGTGTTTCTCAATTTTAACCACTTTTAAGTTGGGTGGACTCCCACTCCGAGAATTCAGCTTGGCTGGCTGGGGAATTCTGAGAGTTGAAGTCCACATATCCTCAAGGACTCAGTGTTTCTCAACCTTGACCATTTTAAGGCATGTGGACTTCAACTTGAGAAACACTGCTCAAGGTTGAGAATCGTGGCTAAACCTTTTTGACTTCTAGCAAACAATGCTGGTTTTTATCCAAGGATGTTATAGCCACTCGGAACACCTGGAGGAACACTGCTTTGCTGCCCAACGCCATTTAGGGTCCTAAAAAGTGTGCAACGACAACAAGAACATGAATCCTTCCTCCAGAACAGGGCTAAAACCGCCGATAATACTGGGAGGGGAGAGGGACGTCTGGCAGAGATGCAGTGAGTGTGCGCCACAGCAAGGTGACTTTTGTGGGCAGTGAGATAATGTTCCTCTTCAGCAATGGGTTCCAGGAATAAGGATAGGCATAAAAAGAGGAGAAAGGCCACCAATTCCCCCTGGAAAAAAAGGGCCCTGCGCGTCTCGTCCTGGGATAACCATCCGGCTTGTGAAAAAAACACGCCCTGTTAAAGGATGACAAGAGTCTGGGGTCAGCTATCCCCACTTCCCGGATTATATTCCGGCTAAAGTAAAAAAAGTGAGCAATTTTTTCCCGCAGCACCACAGAAGAGTAAGGGCCTTAAAACATTGTATTACACTTTCTTCCAGGGGACAATCTCACACACATATATATGCATATACATATATATATATATATATGCATATATATATATGTATATATATATATATATGTATATATATATACGCGACTCGGCTTTGCGCAGAGCGGGAAGATTTGAACTCAGTCCCCCGCGGGCAGCGCTTGGGTGCCTCCACCCAGAGCATGTTGCTGCATTCGGCAGGACCGTCGGGAGGCGGAGGGTGTCATTCATGCCTGCGCTTGGAAGGTGGCACCAGGTGGGAGGGCAGTTCGGCTGGCAGCTCATGCCCTTCCAGCTTGACTTTGATGAGATGGTTGGCCAGGGCGAACTCCTCGTCGTCCAGCAGGCCGTCCTTGTCCACGTCGGCCAGCTTCCAGATCTTGCCCAGGACGGTGTTGGGCAGCTTGGACTTGACCATCTCCTTCTTGGCGCTGGCACCCGTGATCTTGCCGTTGACGGGCGAGAGGGTGTAGAAGATCTCGTCGTAAGTGGGCTTGTCCTTGCTGACCACCCACTCCACGTCATCAATGCCCTCCCCGGCGCCCTCGCCGTAGCCGTGGCCGAAGGGCCCGTTCATGGTGCCCTCAAAAGCCCCGCCCTTCACCACCTGGGAGGGCATCTGTGACTCCTCCTGGCGCACCATCACCATCAGCCGGGCGATGTCGTTGGCCAGCATGTCGTCCACCGCATCCAACAGCTTCTGCTTCAGGGGCTGGAATTTGTTGAAGTCCTGGGTCAGGAGCTGTTCCTGAGGACACACAACCACACCGAATTGTGATCTGGGCCAAGAGACAGCAGCGGGGTCTGTGGACAGCTGGAGAGGTCAACTCCAGGGGTATGGACCACCAAATACCTCAAGGAGAACGCTGGGGCCATAACTACTGTTCACAAGAACTTGGTGGGAAGCAATGTACGATCGACTTACAATAGTTCATTTAGTGACCGTCCAAAGTTACAACAGCACTGGAAAAAGTGACTTATGGCCGTTTTTGCCCCTTACGACCATTGCAGTATCCCTTTGGTGATGCAATCAAAATTTGGACGCTCGGCAACTGACTCATATTTATAACTTTGCAGGGTCTCCGGGGGTCACTTTTGCGACCTTGTGGCAAGCAAAATCAATGGGGAAGCCAGAATCACTTAACAACTGTGTTACTAATTTAACAACTGCAGTGATTCGCTTAACAACTGGGACAAGGAAGGTCATACAATGGGACAAAACTCACTTAACAACTGACTTCTAATGAAAACAATGTTTCCATGAAAGTGGTTTATAACCTGTTATAAAACAATATAGCACATTTATGAACCTTGTTTTCTTGTCATAGGCTGTGTCTTTTCTCAGAGTATTTCAAATTATTCAAGAATTCTGATTACATCACTGAATGTTTTCTTTAGTGAAATATTTTAGATGAAATATTTTAAAAGTGCTTTCATGGAATACAATAATAATTAAAAACTTGATTCCATTAATTTCTCTCATTTTAGATCAGGGGTGTCAAATTGCCGGCCCATGGGCTGGACGCGTCACAAGGAAACTGCGCCCACCCCATTGCCAGCAATGGGGGGGAAAGTTCCGATACGTTGCACAATGTCACGTGACATCGTGAGTTTGACCTGTCTGTTTTAGATGTAGGCTTGGGTAGTTCATTCTTTTGTTACTTAGCCACAAAAATTCTGGGCTCAATTGTGGTCGTACGTCAAGGACCACCTGTATGGAGATAACAAGGCCACGTGCGATCCCAGGTCCTTTCCCACCCCTGGGACACCCACTTCCCAAAGCCTGTCCCTCCCCCCCCACCCTTGGGGTCTGATCCAGGATTCTACCTGCATCTTTCGGAGGCTGGGAAAATCACCCGGTGAGATCTGATGCTCTCGCTCGATCTTGAGGTAGATCTCCCCCAGGTTGTTCAAGAGCTCCTTCTTCTTACTCTCCTTGCCAAAGACGTTGGGCATCTCCTTCTTCAATGAGCTGATAACATAGGCATGGACCTGCCGGGGGTCAGAAGGAAGACGGTTGAGGAGGGGGCCTCTTTGCCTAGTCAACACTGGACCGGCTGAGACATTAGTGCAGTGGTTCTCAACCTCTCTAATGCCGCGACCCCATAATACAGTTCCCCATGTTGTGGTGACCCCCAACCACTTATACATCACCGGGTGCCAGGGGCGTGGCCAAAGAAAAGGGGGGAAAAATGGCGTACAGCCTTGTTTGGCGACCCCCGTGAAATGGTCGTTCGACCCCAAATGGGGTCCCGACCCACAGGTTGAGAACCACTGCATTAGTGGGAAATGTCAGAGCCTTAGAACTGAGGTACTTTTGACCGATGGCCATTTGTTTAGCAACTGTTCAAAGTTATGACGACACTGTTGATTATGGTGTCGTCATGACTTTGAACAGTCATAATCAACATGAACTCACCTGCAATTTAAACAATAACATAAGTAACAGTCAAGTTTTCATCATGTACTTGGAAGAAGAAGGAGCAGATAAGGAGGGAGACCCAGGCGACACAGTATTGAATAACTGGAGGTTGTATAAATATTTATAGAAGTATATACCGAGAAGGTTAGATAAAGAGAAGTATTAATGTAAGAGAAAATTAATCTTATTGTATATAATACAGATAGGGAAATTTGGAGAGAGGAGTTGCTCAGACATTACCCCTGAATTGTATCTGAAGATGGATGAGAGGGAAGAAAGGAGAGGAGAGAGAAAAGAGTAAAGGAGGGGAGAAGGAAGTAGGAAGGTTGGAGGAGAAGAGGAGAAGTGGGGAGAAAGGGGAGGAGAGTGGTGAAGGAGAGGAGAGGAAGAAGAGGGAAGTAGGGAAGAGAAGAAAGGGGGAAAGAAGGTAGAGAAGAAGGAGTGTAGATACGGTGAAAGGGGAAATGGGCGAGCAACACCAAAAGTCATGTGTATGTATTTATTTCATTTTATTAAAAGTATCTTATATATGAATGTTAAAAGAATGTGTGTTAACATCTGATAAATATCAACGGTGTATGTATGGGGGAGAGTTTGGAAAAATAAAAAAATATTAAAAAAAAAAAGTTATGACGACACTGAAAAAAGTGACTCGTGACTCGTTTCCACCCTTAGGCCCATCACTCCACCCTCGTGGTCCCGTGATCAAAACGTGGGTGCTTGCAACTAGGATGTATTTGTAATAGCTGCAGCATCCCAGGGTCGCGTGATCCCCGCTTGTGATCTTCCCAGCCAGCTTCCAACAAGGAAAGTCAATGGAGGGAAGCCAGAATACAGACTAAGAGAGTTGGAAGGGATTCTCATAGGATCAGAGGGCTGGAAGAGGTCTTCTAGCAGGAGACGCAATGCTATTCTGGACAAGCGGCTGTCCAATCTTTTTGTAAAAATCTCCAGTGATGGAGCCCCCACAACTTCTAAAAGCATAATGTTCCCCTGGTTAATTCCTCCTTAGTTCTAGGTCAGTGGTTCTCAACCTTTTTAATGCCGCGACCCCCAACCACTCGTAAGTCGAGGACTACTCAACCGGTCGTAAGTCGAGGACTACTCAACGGGTGCAGCACCGTTTGCAGAATGGGACTTTTGGCGGGCTCAGCAGGGCAGAGACAGCCTGGATAATTCCTATTGGCTTTGGAAAGCCAATAGAATTAGACTCTATTCAAGAGAGTCTATCCTATTGGCTTTCAAAAGCCAATAGAAGAAAAGGGAGTAGCACAGCTAAGGAAAAGGGGGGAAAAAATGGCGGACTGCGTTGTTTGGCGACCCCCGTGAAATGGTCGTTCGACCCCAAATGGGGTCCCGACCCACAGGTGGAGAACCACTGCTCTAGGTTGTTTCTCTACTTGATTAGTCTCCATCTGTTGCTTCTTGTCGTGCCTTCAGATGCTTTGGAGAATAGCTTGCCCCCCCCCCTCTTTATGGCAGCCCCTCAAATACTAGAACATTGCTATCATGTCCCCCCTGGTCCTTCTCTTCTCTAGACTAGACATACCCAGTTCCTGCAACCGTTCTCATATTTTTAGCCTCCAGACTCCTAATCATGCTTGTTGCTCTTCTCTGCACCCTTTGCAGAGTCTGAACATCTTTATATTGTGGTGACCAAAACTGGATGCAATATTCCAAGTGTGGTCTGACCAAGGCATTATAAAGTGGTATTAATACTTCATGTGGTCTTGATTCTATTCCTCTGTTAATGCAACTTTGGACTGCATTGGTTTTTTGGGGCTGGCTCCTATTTAAGGGATTGTCCACTAGGACTCCAAGGTTACTACTTGTTGAGCCAAGATTCTGTACCTGTGCATTTAGTTTTTCTTGCCTAAGTGTAGGACCTAATTTTTCTCACCAATGAATTTTTTGAGATTAGGCCCACTGTTCAGACTGGACTGGACCCAGTGCTGTTTTAAAAATAAATCTAAAGAAAACAAACAGAAGAAGGGGACAGCCCTTCAAATCTGCCGATGCAATTCTGTTGACAGATGTGTCCTCAATTATCTCTGTGGCTCTCAGAGGGTTAAAAAGTTTGAAAGGGTCAAAGCAGCCCTAAAAATAATTCAGATCCAAATTGGCTTAAGCCTCTAAGCCAGCGTTTCTCTAGCAACTTGAAGAGGTCTGGACTTCAACTGAAGTTCACATCTTTTTAAGTTGCTACTATTGAGAAACATTATTTAAGCCAAAACTTGAAGAAAGGTACAAGTCAAATCTGATTCTTGGTGACTTGGTGGACACAATTCATACAGTTTTCTTACCAGTGATAGAAAAAAATGCCTTGCTACCACCTTCTTCTGGATGTTTTTTTCAGCTTTTAACTCTAATCCACAGTTCTGGGATCTCCTGGTGGTACCCCATCCAAGGAATATAAATCCAGTCCTGCTTAGCTGTATGGGTAGCTTTCAACTTATGAAAATCGGCACTAGAAACCTCCGTTGCTAACTGATGAAGTCATTAAGTCAGTTGCAGCCTGCTTAATGACCATGACCTTTCTTGCCATAGTCATTAAACGAATCACCATGGTCATTAAGCGAATCACATGGCTATTAAGCAACTGGCTTCACCCACCTTGTTGGAAGCCCCAGGGAAAGTCACAAACGGGGATCATGGACTCTGCAACTGTGGTAAATACAGGCGGTGAATTTACAAATGCTCCAATTTTGATAATGTGACTGTGAGAATGCTGTGATGGTCATAAGTGTAAGGACTGGTCATAAGTATTTTTTTTCATTATTTTCATTAAAGTTTGCCATTATAACTTCCAACAGTCACTAAACAAAAATGATTGTAAGTGAAGGACTAGCTCTATTGCCTTATTTTTTTTTCATCCCTGTTGTAACTTCAAATGGTTGGTGAAAGGACAGTCATAACTTGAGGACTATGTATTAACTGAAACAAGTGATTTACCGATTGCGGTATGGCAGTGTTTGCTAACCTCAGCTGGGGAATTCTGGGAGTTGAAGTCCACACTTCTTCAAGTTAGCAAAACCTGGGAAGTGCGTGAAAACCAACAATACCCCCTTGCAAAGCACAAAGGAAGCTTTATGGAACTTGACCAGAATCTGCCCCTTTGCACCAGGAACTCAGACGGGGTTTTCTGGAAATTTTCCTAATTACCTAAAAACCAAAAAAAGATCAGATTTTGCCAAGAGTGCAACTTCTACTTTCAATTGGCCACATTTCTATAAAAAGCACACCCTGTTCTTTGTTTCAGGTTAAATTTTGGGTAAAAGCAGAAAAAAAGGAGGAAGCTTCCCTCTGTGGGCTGTGTGTTACAAAGGTTAACTGGGATTTCACTTTTGATTTTGTGTGGCCTTTTAGTAGATCTCCTGAAGCGGAGCCAAACAATTGCAATGATGTGTGAACAGTGCTGCAAAAAACAAGGACCAATTTAAGGTTTAATTTCAATTTCAGATTTTAAATCCTAATTTAAGGGAATTCTAACCACATTCCACATAGATCGAGAACTACCAGAAGTACAGGTAGGATTTCGAAGAGGCAGAGGAACTAGAGATCAAATTGCCAACATACGCTGGATCATGGAGAAAGCTAGGGAGTTCCAGAAAAACATCTACTTCTGCTTCATTGACTATGCAAAAGCCTTTGATTGTGTGGATCACAACAAATTGTGGCAAGTTCTTAAAGAGATGGGAGTACCAGACCATCTCATTTGTCTCTTGAGAAACCTATACGCGGGTCAAGAAGCAACAGTGAGAACCGAACACGGAACCACTGATTGGTTCAAAATTGGAAAAGGAGTCCGGCAAGGCTGTATACTGTCGCCCTGCCTATTTAACTTGTATGCAGAGCACATCATGAGAAAGGCAGGGCTAGATGAATCAAAAGTTGGAATTAAGATTGCCGGGAGAAATATCAACAACCTAAGATATGCCGATGATACCACTCTAATGGCAGAAAGTGAAGAGGAACTAAAGAGCCTCTTGATGCGGATGAAGAAGGAGAGTACAAAAGTAGGCTTGAAACTCAACATTAAGAAAACCAAAATCATGGCATCCGGCCCTCTTAATTCCTGGCAAATAGATGGGGAAGAAATGGAGGTAGTGACAGATTTTATTTTTCTGGGCTCAAAGATCACCTCAGATGGGGCTGCAGCCAAGAAATTAAAAGACTCTTGCTCCTGGGGAGGAAAGCTATGGCAAATCTAGACAGCATACTAAAAAGCAGAGACATCACCCTGCCAACAAAAGTGCGTATAGTCCAGGCCATGGCTTTCCCAGTTGCATGTATGGCTGTGAAATTTGGACCATAAGAAAGGCTGAGCGCCAAAGAATTGAGGCCTTTGAACTATGGTGCTGGAGAAGACTCCTGCGAGTCCCTTGGACTGCAAGGCGTTCAAACCGGTCAGTCCTAGAAGAGATCAACCCTGACTGCTCTTTAGAAGGCCATATCCTGAAGTTGAAACTCAAATACTTTGGCCACCTAATGAGAAGGAAGGACTCACTGGAGAAGGGCCTAATGCTGGGAAAGATGGAGGGCAAGAGAAGAAGGGGACGACAGAGAATGAGATGGCTGGATGGAGTCACTGAAGCAGGAGGTGAGAACTTAAATGGACTCCAGAAGATGGTAGAGGACAGGAAGACCTGGAGGAACGTGGTCCATGGGGTCGCGATGGGTCGGACACGACTTCGCAATTAACAACAACAACAACCACATTCCACTCACCCAGGTGCATCGTCCATTTTCCCATAATGTGGTTATTAAAACGGGTCCCCCCTCCCAAAGGACCATTGGTTGGAAAGTTGGTGAGTTTCAACAAAGGGAGCTTTTAAGAGAGTTGTACCCTAAAAAGCTTCTGCTGCCACTGTTTATGCGCTCACACAAAAACAGCACATTTCCAAAAATAGAATGCTTTTGGTGGGAAATTTTCTAAGCCATCCCTCCAGCCTTAGCTTTTTTGGAATCAATACCCCAAAAGGCCAGATTTTTCTATGAACAGAGCCAGTACCAGACATGCAGTAAAAGAATAAATAAAAGTGATCGTCACACATATTTCTAAATTTCAAAACTTTTAAACTTGAAAAACAAAATAGAAAGTCCGTGGTAATTGTCGGACATCAGTCTTAAAGTTGCCACGTTTGGAGACCCCTGGGTTTAGGGAGTTGGCGAGGGTCCTGCCTGTGTGTGGGGAAGGACAGGCAGAGCCTGGGGCGATGTCAAGAGAGGAATCAGCCTGGAGTTGTTACATTCTCACAAACGGTCTAAGTTCAACTCTTCTTGAATTCTGTTAACTCTTATCTGCCAAACTTCAACTAGATCAGTGGTTCTCAACCTGTGGGTCGGGACCCCATTTGGGGTCGAACGACCATTTCACGGGGGTCACCAAACAACGCAGTCCGCCATTTCCCCCCCCCTTTTTCCTTAGCTGTGCTCCTCCCTTTTATTCTATTGGCTTTTGAAAGCCAATAGAATAGACTCTCTTGAATAGAGTCTAATTCTATTGGCTTTCAAAAGCCCATAGGAATTGTCCAGGCTGTCTCTGCCCCGCTGAGCCCACCAAAAGTCCCATTCTTCAAATGGTGTTGCACCAGTTGAGTAGTCCTCGACTTACGACCGGTTGAGTAGTCCTCGCTTTATGACCGGTTGGGGGTCGTGGCATTAAAAAGGTTGAGAACCACTGAACTAGATTATTTTGTATAGGCATGAGCAATAAAATCAGCTTAACTGGAACTTAACTTAGAGAGGGCTGTAAAGCACTACGAAGGGGTCTACGGGTAGTCCTCGACTTACGACCACAACTGAGCCCCACTTTTTTTGTTGCTATTTGTTAAGTGCATTTTGTCCCATTTTACAACCTTCCTTGCCACAGTTGTTAAGAGAATCACTGAAGTTGATAAGTTAGTAACATTTCTGACTTCCCCATTGAGTTTGCTTGTCAGAAGGTCGCAAATGGGGACCATGTGATCCCAGGGCACTGCAACTGTCACAAATACGAGTCAGATCCCAAGCAATTGAAATTTGATCACGTGACCATAGGGATGCCGAAACAGCTGTAAGTGTGAAAAATGGTCATTAAGTCACTTTTTCCAGTGCTGTTGTAACTCTGAACGGTCACTAAGTGTATGGTTATAACTCGAGGACTACCTGTATATGTCTTAAGTGCTACTGCTAGGTGCTATTAATGTGTGGTCCTGATTCTTTGTGCCTGACAGACCATTCCATACTAGCCAGATGCCAAAGATGCCCCAAGGCTACTGCTCCCCCACTGTCACTGCGATCTCCTTCATCCCCAACCGTCCCCCAAACACAGACAGCGCTTCTGACCTTGGCCAGCCGGGCCCTCTTGATAAGGTCGTTCAACTTCCGGAGAGCCGCGTTGCGGGGCAGCGACTGGATGTCCTTGAAGAGGTCTTGTTCCTCCGCCTCAAAGAGTTTACGGTTGTCCGGGATGAGCAACGGGTGCGACCAGAAGGATCCGATGTAGACGCGCACCACTTCCGGCGTATTGATGATCTTGCCTAGCGACCACATCAGCGCCCCATAGACCCGCATCAGCTGCTGCGTCTCGATCTGGTCCGCCTTGTTCAGCACCACCCGAATCTTGTCCTCGTGGTTCTTGAGACCTTTGATCACCTCTGAAAACTCGTCCGAGATGTCCAGCTTGTGGGCGTCGAAGAGCAGGATGATGCGGTCCACCCGCTCGGCAAACCACTCCAGCACGGCGGCAAAGTCGTAACCTGCGGCGAAACAGAGACGGGAGAAGGCAGAGGTCAGTGGCTGGAGGTGCCTGGCCAGCCCCATTGGGCAAGTCCAGCTCGTTCAGCGGAGTTGAATTCGTATGGCCAAAGTCCTTCAGATTTTGGGTGACCAAAGCCTACAAGATTGGCACGCAACCGGGGATGGGTTTGAGTCTCCTGCCAGGCTGTCCCAAAGGTGCTTTTTTCAGGAGGCAACTGGACTTCTTTTGAGGACGTTTTGCTTTCCAGTTGCCTCCTGAAAAAAGCACCTTTGGGACAACCGTACCTGGATGACCGAGAACCTCCGCAGACATCTTGCCAGGCTGAGCTTTGCAAATTCAAACTTTCTCCTCTCTCTCATGTACCATAGAGCCTTAGTGAGACCACACTTGGAATAACTGCATCCAGCTCTGGTTACCGCCATATAAAAAAAGACATTGAGACTCTGGAAAGGATGCAGAGAAGGGCAACAATGATGATGGGGAGGGGAGGGCTGGAGGCTAAAACATAGGAAGTACGGTCGCTGGAATTCGGTACATCTAGTCTAGTGACAAGAAGGACCGGGGGAACGTAAGTAATCTTCCAATGTTTGAGGGGCTGCCCCAAAGAAGAGGGAGTCAACTTGTTCTCCAAAGCACAGAAAGCAGGACAAGAAACAACGGGTGGAAACTGACCAAGGGGAGAAGCACCTGGGTGGTAGAATCAGAAGCAGGCCATGTGTATCCCCAGAGTAGTCTGTTGTAAACTCTGAAGTGTTGATAAGAACTCGATTGTGAGTCAAAGACTATCTGTATGCAATAATGTGTCCTTGAAGAGGATTCTACCATCCCAGCAGGGATTCATGCAGAGTCCAAATCTCTTGTTTCTTTCTGAACCATGAGGACTAGAACCTTATTTTTTTTCATAAATGTTTACTGAACACTTTACAAAAACATAAACAGAGGAAAAACAAAGAAAATGTTTTACAAAGAAGGAAGGAAGGAAGGAAGGAAGGAAGGAAGGAAGGAAGGAAGGGAAGGAAGGAAGGAAGGAAGGAAGGAAGGAAGGAAGGAAGGAAGGAAGGAAGGAAGGAAGGAAGGAAGGAAGGAAGGAAGGAAAAGAGACAGGGAGGGAGAGAGGGAAAAAGGGAAGGAAGGAAGGAAGACAGGTTCAGTTTTCCTTTGCAGTAAATCTAAGTACAATTACAAAAAATGTCTCTTCGTCTAGGATTACAAAAGAAAGCTCACTGTTTTCTCCATTTTTCTCCTAATCACAAATAATAAGTGCCTTTTTTTTCCATTTTAGGTAAAAATGTCTATTATGGGGTTTCCACTCAGCCACAAACACAGATATTGTTTTTCCTTTAAATAAAGAAGCTTAATTTAGCCATCTCTTGCAAATTTAACAAGCTCGGGAATCTCATCCATTCTACCATCCAGATTCGTACCGAATCCAAATCTCTCCCTTTTCTTCTGAACCCTGAGGACTAGAACCTTATTTTCTCTGGAGGGAAGCATTACCACTCTGCCAAAACAGAGAGCTTACTAGATGCCAGGCCAGAGAGGAAGAAGGACAGTTCCCCTGTCTCAAATCCAGGAAGACAAAAAGACAGAAAAATATCTAATGTTGCACAAGCCAACTTCCTTGGAACAGAGCGGGAAAGTTACTCCGTGCTGAAATCACCTCTGGCTATCAGACCTATTTGCAAATTATGGAAATATGCGCCTGGGAGGGAGATGCATAGAGACTTTCTTGAGAAGGGAACAAACATTCTATGCATGCACTTATGGCACCCCTCCCAAATATCTCTGCAACAGGAAAACTCCAAAGCTTTTCCCGGCATTGCCAGATGTTAGTCATTTTGAAGAAAGAAAAAAACACTCAGGGTGGAAGGTTCCACGTCGGTCACATGGGTGCCGAGAATGTGGAGCCAGTCAGCTGGGCACACAAAGATTTGCTTAGTCCTTGACTTATGACCACAATTGAGCCCAACATTTTTGTCGTTAAGTGAGACATTTGCTGTGTCACGGGATCCCCTTCAGCGAACTTCTGATGAGCAAAGTCAATGGGGAAGCTGGATTCACTTAACCGTGTGACTAATTTAACAATGGCCACGATTCACAACTACTGTGGCAAGGAAGGCCGTAAAATGGGGCAAAACTCACTTAATAACTGTCTTGCTTAGCAACAGAAAATTTGGGTTCAACGGCGGCCGTAGGTTGAGGACTACCTGTATTAATGTCTGAAACACCATTCCAGGAATCAAATGCAGTTCCAGGATTTTCAGTTTTCTGACCACAACAACCGCACAAATATCAAAATCAGTCAATTCAGATTAAGATTAGCTCTATTAAAGAAAAAAACAAAAAAAAATTGTGTCAAGAGGTTTGGACAGAAAAGCAGTCAACGAATATCCCCATTCTGCAAACCAGGAACACAGAGCAATTTTTTAAAATGAATCCACAACATTAGAATAGAATAGAGCTGGAAGGGACCTTGGAGGTCTTCTAGTCCAGCCCCCCGCTCAAGCAGGAGAACCTATACTGTCTCAGACAAGTGACTGTCTAGCCCAGTGGTTCTCAACCTTTTTAATGCCACAACCCCCAACCGCTCGTAAGTCGAGGACTACTCAACCGGTCGTAAGTCGAGGACTACTCAACTGGTGCAGCACCGTTTGCAGAATGGGACTTTTGGTGGGCTCAGCAGGGCAGAGACAGCCTGGACAATTCCTATTGGCTTTTGAAAGCCAATAGAATTAGACTCTATTCAAGAGAGTCTATTCTATTGGCTTTCAAAAGCCAATAGAATAAAAGGGAGTAGCACAGCTAAGGAAAAGGGGGGCGGTTTGGCGACCCCCGTGAAATGGTCGTTCGACCCCAAATGGGGTCCCGACCCACAGGTGGAGAACCACTGGCTCTCTAGCCTCTTCTTTAAAATCTCCAGTGATGGAGCGCCCACAATTTCTTCCACTGGTTAATTGTCCTCACTGTCAGGAAGTTTCTCCTTAATTCCAGGTTGTTTCTCTCTTTGATCAGTTTCCAATCATTGTTTCTTGTCCTGCCTTCTGGTGCTTTGGAGAATAGCTTGACCCCCTCTTCTTTGGGGCAGCCTCTCAAATACTGGAACGCTGCTATCATGTCTCCCCTATTTCTTCTTTTCTTTAGACCGGCCAAACCCAAGTCCTGTAGCCGTTCTTAGTATGTTTCAGTCTCCAAGCCTTGGATCATCTTAGTTGCTCTTCTCTGATTTTTTTTCCAAACGCTCAACATCTTTTTTGTGATATGGTGACTAAAATTGTGATATGGTGACCAAAATGCTTAAGGACATTTCTTAAAAAAATGATTTGCAATCTCTCAGGGCCAGAAAATTGCATCAGCATTTTGCAATCCCTGATGGGATGAGTGGCCCACAGTTTCCCACCAGTTTTTCTGATCTCAGCAGTCTTAGAACAGTTCACTATTTTCCTGTTGGAGCTTCCTGCAGGGGAAACCCAAAACTTTGTGCCTATGTGTTGCTAAATCTGTCACAATGCTGCTGATGCATTCCCCAACTCAAATCTAAGTTACTTGCATTTTCTCTTTTTATACTTCCACCAAAATCCCCTTTGATGCCCTTCTGAGACACTCCAGTGCAGTGTTTAAAGTGTTTCTAGTGCAAGTCTAGGACTGCTATCAAGTCACCTGTAATCCTTCTTTAATTAAAACAGGGGTCTCCAAAGTTGGAAATTTTAAGACTTGTGGACTTCCAACTCCCAGAATTCCCCAGCCAACATGACTAGCTGGGAAATACTGGGAGTTGAAGTCCACGAGTCTTAAAAGTTGCCAAATTTGAAGACCCCTGGAGGAACTGGGTATGGGTAGCCCAGGGGTCTTCAAAATTGGCAACCCTAAGACTCAGCATCCTATCAGCTCAACCTCTTCTGTGCTTTGACTCTTTAGAGTCAGATAAATCACTGCTTTTCAAAAATGAGAGAACAGACTTTTGCCTCCCACAGCAGGTCTGGTTTGTTGGAAAAATTCAAAACATTTAAAAGCAAGTTACAGGTAGTCCTTGACTTACCACAGTTCATTTAGTGACCGTCCAAAGTTACAACAGCGTTGGAAAAAAGCGACTTATGACTGATTTTGTTAAATTTCACTTAACAAATTTTAGGTTCAATTGTGGTCATAGGTTGAGGACTACCTGTATTACAGAAACCAACTTACTGGGCTGAAATCAGAAGACCGTATTTGCTTGCAAGGGTTTCAACCCACTCAACGGCACTGCATTTTTGTAGAACACTCTAACCACCCTGCCTACTTTGCAAAGTGAGCAGACAACTCAGAAATAACATGCTGCATTTTCCCGATCTGCAGATTTATGCTCATGCTTACTTCTCAGTATTTACAATTGCAAAGAAAAAAAAAATCAAGGGAAAGAAAAACACCAAAGTCTCAACTTTAGCAGGCTAGATTTACACTTGCATAAATATACTGATTATTTTTTTTTTTAACAGATCGCTGCCTGGAAGAACACCCCAAGCTTAGATTTTACTCACCCCAGGCACTTAAAACCATTCATCTACGCCAAGTCCAAGTTATGGAACAATTAAACTCTTAAAAAGCCAAACATTTTCCTGTGGAAAACTGTAGTAGCAGCAGAAAAAAATGTTCTCCTTGGAAGACAAGTCCATTGCATGTCAATGTCCCATCCAGTAACGGAACTGGGCTCGGCATCTGATAACCAAAATTCATCGGGTTATGAACCCGTAATGAATAAATCTAATCTGCTGTGGCCCAGTTCACACACTGCAATAACAATGCGAAATAAAAACCTCTTTTTTAACGTTTTAATCGAGCTTTATAGTTTCAAGTGATTTTACAGATGATCCTCAACTTACAGCCCTTCCTTTAGTGACTGTTTGAAGTTACAGCAGCACTGAAAAAAGTGACGTATGATCATTTTCCTATATAATTATTTTAAGCTATGTAAATATTTCAGATAAAATAAATAAGCCTAAATAGGGCCCAGTTTGGCTTGGC